AGTACAAGCACACCAGTGAGCATTGAGGTTGATGCTGGTTCCCCTGCAGACTATTTCAGGAGGTGGATGACTTGATAGTGCATCCAAACAGGATAGAGCTGGATCCTCCATCTGGACAACTGCAAAACTGACAGGTGGTTGTCTTTACTGCCCATGTGACCACATGATTTTTTCATCATTTGGGAAAAACTTTGAAATTATACAAAAACGGTCAAATTTTTTTTTTAGCATTTGTGTATGTGTATGCACAAGCACAGATGTGTGTGGGCATATGCATGTGTGTATATGTGAATGAGCCCGTGTGTCCTATGCATGTGTACAAAAATATGTATACACGTAGGCACATGCATGTATACAAACATATTTTGTGTATCCATGTGAGTTTATCTTTGTGTACCTGTGTGTGACAGCTGTTTATGTGTATATGTCTATGTATGTATGGTAAGTGTACATGTATGTTGTGTGCATATATAAGTCATTACATGTATGTATGTACTTGTTAGGGTGTTTATATGTCATTTGTGCACTGTGTGAACTTACACATGCCGTGAGATACTAAAGTCATGGAGCTCTTAATAGCTGTGGCTGCCTTTCCCCAGCCTCTGTCTTTTGCTTCAATACAAAGTGTAGAAGCATGGAGACTCAAAATGAGAACAGTCACACATTCACCCATCTGTCTGTTCAGTGAACATTTCCTAAGCATCTGCTGTGTCCTGGTCTGCGGTCCCCAAGGTGAAACCATCAGCAAGGCTGTGTGATGGGATAGTCGTATGGCCATAGCTTGAGGCCAGGATGTTTTGTGGGAGGGAAAGATCACATCTGAGCTGTACAAAAGGAGGCAAGATGAACTGAGTTCTAGGTCACTCTGAGGTGGGTACAGATGTGAGGGGAGAGCCAGATAGACTGTACAAGGCTCGAGTGAGTGCTAGAAACTGGGAGAGAGTGAGACTGAAGTAATGTTAAATGGGTAACTTTGCTTTTGTTTTTTACTTGATAGACAGTGGGAAAGCTTTTGAATATTTTGGGAAAATGTTCCAGAAATTGCAGGATTAACAGCATCATGCCCCAACTTTTCTATTGCTGTTATATTATGGGCTTGATGGATAGGCCCCCATTGTAATTGTCCCTGGGGTCCAGCAAGATTAGCAAGTATGGGGGAGGTCCAAGAAAAACTCCCCCTTTCTCAGAAGTAAATTGGTCATGGTTTGTCACTGATTGGACTGAGATAGTAGTAACATAGGAGAAAACAGGGTCAGTGCCCACTGAATCTCAGGGGAATACCAGTGTGTCAGGGAGATGGGGACAACTGAGAGGCATTTAGATGTGAACTTCTGCGTAGGGCTTCTGCATCTGAGAAATGGATGGGGTGCACCATGGTAGTGAGAGCAAAGGGGGGTGGCACATGGAGCAGGCTCCGGCACGCAGGAGCTGAGGCAGGGGACAGACAGCAAGCACATGGGCAGGTCCTGTTGCGACAGCCAATGATAGGCATGACACAGTGTGCAAGGTGGGGCTCATGGTGGGGGGGGGAGGGCTGTGTGTGTAGACAGAACATTATTTTGAGTGTTTCATGGCTTCCTTCATTGTAGGGATTATCTTGGGGCTGACACTTTCTGGGGACCACTAGACTCCAGGTCCCATTAGGAAGGATTGTCTAGTTGTAACCCTCACCTCCACCTCACAGCTCATCTTCCATTGCAGACTGGGTGGGTCGGTGGGATGGACTCCATCATGCCTTGTTGCCATAACCTGTGACATTTCCTTTCCAGTTGCCGGATTCATTATAAGGATATGTACAGTTTGTTGCGTTGTATTGCGCCACCCGTTGGCTTAGGAAAGAACTGCCCTCGTAGGTTGGCCTACAAGGTTTGCAACTTCAGAGCCTCCATCTGACATACTTCCCTGCCCGAATCGCAAACACTGCACACACTCCCTGCCTGATTTGGGAATGACAACACCTCACCTTCTCTTTCCTCTGTCCTGCCCTGCCCTGCATTCCAGCATCCTGGATACTTTGGTTCCCTGTCTTATCTCCCCAACCCCTCCAGCTGGCTGGAGGCAGGCAGCCTTCAAGACAGTGCCCAAGGAGTTTTCTGACCTGGCTAGGCTGAGTCTGCCGGGACCAGCTGGCTGGGTGTGGGGAGTGGGGCTGAGGGGTGTGTGTGGGTGACACAGGTCCTGCCTTTATCAAGGAAGCATCCATCACACCCAGCATTCCTGCAGGCTCCTATGAATGGGCTGATGGTCAGACAGGCCAGAGGCTGAGAGCCCAGAGGAGAAGTATGAATGTGGGTGCAAATAAACAAGGAACAGTTGTCCCCGTGGGTCAGAAGAGGCTTTCAGGTCCCCGAGGGAGGGGACAGTGGGGACAAGAAGGAGGAGCCCTCCTGCGTCGTTTCTGGACTGATGTGCTCAGCTCAGGGAGAAAACCCCTGGCCTGGAACTGTGAGCAGAGGGCAGGGTCTGGGCAGATCTGCCCTCTGGAGAAAGGCTGGACTCTGCTGTGTCTCTGAGACCCCAAGCCCACAGGCAGGTGCTCTGGGATAGAGGGAAGCCCCAGCCTCTCGACTTGGGAAGATGCTTCACTAGCCCCAAGATGTTCCCCTGAGTCCCCAACCTTGGGTTCTAGGCCCCACAAGGGGCACATCCAACCTGTTGGTCCCAATCTGTGCTGTCAGAGGCACCAGTGGCACCAGGCCACAGCTTACTCAGCGCCTCCCTTCCTGCAGTCTCCTTCCCATCCAGCCCTTGATCTCAGCAGCAGCCCTGCCCTGGGCTGGCCTCGGGCGTCTCTGGGCTTGGAGCTGACTTGCCTGGTCGTTAAGTTTATTCCCCTCAAAGCTTTGGGGCTCCTTCTCTAGTTTTCTAGTCTGTTGTAGATCTTTCTCCGCTTTAGCCTCTGGCCTTATTTGGAAGCAGATGTGACCTGCCCGCTGAGGCAGGCCTTGCTGTTGTGGTTGGCAGCAGCAACCCATCTCTACACAGCCTGGCCAGTGCTTCCTGCATGGTGAAACAGCTCTTTCTGATTCGGCCTTGTCTACGGTTCTAAAAAAGTGAAGTCAGAGATTTATAACCCAAAGCCGCCCCGATGCAGCCCTTCCTCACCCCTCCATGTTCATTAGCTCAGACGTCACCCCTGCCCGCTGCCCTGCATTGGGCTGCTATGAGGAGGTGAGGCTGGGGGTGGGGGCAAGCAAGGGTCAAGTCAAGCAGAGACTCCCTCATTTTACTTGTTTTGATTTGGGGCATTCACCCGACACCTTGGTTAACTGAATCTGTTTTCTTGTCTGCTTCCTCCCCTGCCCGCTCCCTGCTCTACCCCTCCTGCCGTGTGCCTCTCCTGTGGACCACCCCACTATGCCTGGCCTCTGGAACGGGTTTCCAGTGGGCGCATCAGTTACAATGACATGTTTGAGATGCTGAAACACATGTCCCCACCTCTGGGGTTGGGGAAGAAATGCCCGGCTCGAGTTGCATACAAGGTAGACCTTGCCCCTGCCCTGACCCTGCACCCCACCCAGGAGCCATCTGTGCTTGGCTGGGCCCACCTGGGCCTTGCTCAGCCCTCACAGCACTCATGGGCTCTCACCTGCTTTCTCAGGATTTGTCTGGCTGTGTGGCTGTACTTGGCTGCCTTCCCGCTGCACCCTGTACCACCCCGAAACCCTTTATCCCATCCCAGATAGAGGGAGGGACACACCTTTGCACTAACCCGGAAACCCCATCCAGCCTCCCCACTACTGACATCCTTGAGAAGCTCAGGACAATGGAGCCAGAGTCGACTCCACCCCACCCCTACCCGTTCCCTTCCTTCCCCTTGCTTTCCCAAGAATGAGAAGACAAACAAAACAATGTTTTTTTTGGACAGAGGGTGCTTTATTCCGGGCGTAGGGTTACCCAGCTGCCCTGACCCCTGTGCTTCTGTCATGGGTGGTCATCAAGTCTACAGAGTCTGGCCTTGGGGGATACATAGGGCCTGTGGTGCCTCAGCTGCTTACCTCTTCTCCTGCCCTTCTACCCTACCAAGCTCAGCCTTGCAGGGATTTATGACCAGCTGTAGTCTCCAAGGGCTTTGCTAAGGTTCCCAGCGGGAAGGGGTGCCTTGATGTTGAGAAGGAATGGGTGTTCCGACACCCTGGGGTGAGGGTCCCAGCTTCGGGAGTTCAGGAGTCACAAATCACCGTGTCGTGAGGAGGGAAGTGAACAAGGACACCTCCAGGCCTCCTTCCTGGCCCAGTCACCAGCTTCTTCTGCCTGCAGTGCCACCTTCAGCACCCCCAGCCCCTACTGCTCCCCGTTAAACAGTGCCAACTGTGTTTGCCTCTGTCTGAGAGCTTTCTGCCGGAGCCTCCCTCTTTGGTTCACTGTCCTCTGTCCGTATTCCGTCTCTGTACCCCGTTCTAGGTTTTTGTCTGCTACGTCACTCAGTGTAGTCTGTGGGAACCAAACAGCTCTCCCACCACTCACAGATGCCTCTGGGTTCTTCCTGCCTTTATCTGCTCCCGACTAGCATGTGTGTTGAAACCGCAGAGGCCCTGCATGCATGCATGTCTCTATCCACAGGAGGGAGAGCTCTGTTCTGTGACACCTAGGCAGGCAGGAAGGGTTGTGTTGCCCTTTCTAGCCATGCCTAAGGATCCTGAGGTTCAAGGTATGACCAGTCCAAGGGAGGCTTCAGGGTAGGGTGCCGATGGCTTGGGGCAAGATGGGGAGGGCCCAAGAGATGCTTGGAGTACCATTTCTGGAGCTTATTTGCCCTGGTCTTGCCACTCTGCTTCTCTGAGGTTCTTTCTCTGCCCTCCATGACAAGGGGCAAACAGTGGGAGCCCTTATGAGGGTACCCTTTGGTGTCCTGGACAGATCTCCCCCTCTTAGAACTAGTCTGCTTGCTCTTCTCTCATTCCCATCCTAACTCCTGTCCCTGGAAGAGGAATTCCTTGGCCTCTCACACTGCCATCGGTGCTGGTCTGCAGGGATGCCATGCTCTGGGAAGCAGGATTTTCCTGGTGTGTAACATGTGACATATGAGGTCCTGGTCCTGTAATTGGATGTGCCCAGTGGGGCTTTGCCAGCATTCATAGGACAAGAGCCTACCTCCTGTTTTATGCACCCCTGTGCCCCTCCATCACAATGAAGATACAGAACTTGGGGCAAGGTACTAGGGGCTGGGCTATGTGGCCCTCCCCCAAAGAAGGGTGCTTGCCCCAGGGAGGAACTCCTGTCTAAAGTTTTCTTCCTGTTTAGAAGACACAGTGGGGGTACAGTAGTGCTCCTGGGGAACTTCTTGGCCAAGTGAATGCTCCTCAGATGCACCTGAGTCCTCCTTGAGGCCTCAGACGTTCTCAGAGCCAGAGGCTCTTGCAGCTGCTGAATCGCCCCAGAGGACTGATTCAGAAACGTCCTTGTTTTAAGGTGTTTGGTCTCTGAAAACTGAGAAAGGAAGGGAGCTGGCCACTCAGAGAGATGGGAGCAGAATGAGCCTTGACCCTGTGCAGCCCCTCTGCTCTGGCCCCTAGAAGGTCTCCTAAGACCTTTCTTGATGCATTTACCTATGATAGTGTCTGTCTTCAAAGTGTGTCTTCCTGGCCCCTGTTATTGTGGTTAAGACTTAGTGTCCCACTGGAACCTTAGAAAGGCCTTCTGGCTGCCACTCCTAGATGATCCAGTTGCAGACAGAGGAGGACAGGTAAGCTAAGTCATAGGACAGGGTCCTATCTATTCTTTAAGCTGCCTCACGGAGTAGCACTGCCTTGGGTCCGTCTTCCTCAGCCAAGACTACCACACCCTTTTGGCATTTGCAGGCAGAGGGCAGGATTCAGGTTCCTGGCCCAGCCTCTGCTATAGCTTTTACCTGGATTTCTGCTCTTCTCTAGCCAGGAGAATCTCAGCTCAAATGAGAGTGGGGTCCGGGAGGAGAGAATGCTGGCAAAACTTCCACCAACCCAGCCTTCTTGGACCAGGCACCTGCCAGGACCACTCTCAGGAAGCCAAGCCAAGCTCCAGAGCCCAGACACTAATTGTAGGGTGGGAGTGATCCTGACATGCTTGGCCCTGATCTGCCCCTACTCATCCCCAGCGCCTGGTTCGCATGAACATGCCCATATCCAATGAGGACATGACGGTGCACTTTACCTCCACACTGATGGCCCTCATCCGGACAGCACTGGAGATCAAGCTTGCCCCAGGTGAGTCAGGTGGCCTTGGCAAAGGGAGGGCACTGGCCAGCCAATCCTTTAGCAAGTTTACTGCCAGCCTTGGGTAACTAGTGTGATTTCCTGTTTCAAAGCAACACAACACAAAACACACACACACACACACACAACCACACACAAAAACCAACAAACACACAAGTAAGGAGGAAGATAAAGGGACAGGCTTGGGGAAAACTGGATAGATTTACCTTCTCTTTTAGGCATTGACTGTTACTTTGATGATTGCATTAACACTATAATGGCCTCATAGGGAGGAAACCAGCACAGTGAAAGGTGATCCCTTGTTCTAGGTCATCCCATCCAGCAGTGATAGCCTGCCCCAATCATGTAACAGGGAGCATGTACCATCTTCTCCTTCCTCCCCTTCCCCTCTACTAGAGGGACCCTGCACCCCATCACTCTCCCTCATCTGTGCCATATAGCTTGGCTACTTGTGTTGTGAGAGTGGAGGCCAGCCCCCTTTGTATACCAGCTTCCATCTTTTCTTAGCATCTCCCTAAGGATGTCACCCACAGTTGCATCCTCTGCTTCTTGGCTTTATTGGTTTTTCTCTGTTTGGGGTTACTCATGTCAATTTGTGAGCACGCACTTATCATTCCTTTCTTTAAAAAGGTTTATCTCTTACCCCTCCATTGGTGTTCCTCCTTTTTAAAATTTTATTTATTTATTTAGTGTACAGTATTTTGCCTGCATGTATGCCTGCAGGCCAGAAGAGGGCACCAGATCTCATTATAGATGGTTGTGAGCCACCATGTGGTTGCTGGGAATTGAATTCAGGTCCCAGTGCTCTTAACCTCTGAGCGCCATCTCTTTAGCTCCCATATTCCTCTTTTTCTTCCTTCAAAGGAACCAGCTGCTTGAGGGACTAGTCTCTGCCAGTTTTCAGACTGTTCTCAGTCTTTGCCCTCCCTGTAGCCTTCCTCAGATTTTACCTCCTGTGTCATGTTTGACTTCTCTGACATTCCCTTCTTCTGAATTGTGGGTGTGCCTCAGAGCACCCTTCTAGCTGTTGCCACCTTGCCCATCCCTTGTGCATATATTGAATTTTAATCAGTCTAGACAAGAATAGCATAAGTTATTCCATATTCACTCAGAGGCTCTGCAGGAATTTTCCCGCTGACTTGTCTGGACCTCAAGTCCAAGTGATCCCAGTTCCTTCTGTGGCTCCACCATTGAGAACTCTGTTCTTTGCTCCCTGACCAGAACCTTGGAGTTACCCTTATTCTATCATTTCTGATTCATGTGTGTTTTATATCTCCATGATGACTTCAAAATACACCCAGCATGTAGTCACCTCTCTGCCTAGGCCCACTCTCTGCTCTTGTTGCATTGCTACTGTAGTCTCCAGCTACCCTGCAGCTACCCTTGCTCTCAGTCTGCCTTCAGCTTAATGGCCAGAGTGGCCAGGTAAAGTCACAGCAAGAATAGAGGTAAACCTCCAGCTAGACCAATCAAGAAGAGAGAAGATGCAGGCAACAAAAGTAAAGAGCAGAAGCGGTGTATCATCTCAGCTGCTGTTGACAGTGAAAGGATGGCAAGGGTGATGAGCATCATGTCAGTGAGCGCATCTTAGGGGAAGGGTGTGAGTTCTTTGACGAATATAAACTACCAAGCTCATTCAAGAATAGATAACCTCAGGGCTAAGGGAATGAATGCTCGTTTGGTAAATCCAGAAGCCACATAAAAATGCTAGGCATGGTGATGTGTACTTGTAATTCCAGCACTAGGGATGTGGGAATGGTATTTCTTGGAGTTTCTGACCAAACTTAATTTGTGAGCTTCAGGCTCACAGTGAGACCGCTTTAAAGAGGGTTGATGGCAGCCAGGCGTTGGTGGCGCACGCCTTTAATCCCAGCACTTAGGAGGCAGAGGCAGGCGGATCTCTGTGAGTTCAAGGCCAGCCTAGTCTACAGAGCAAGTTCCAAGATAGCCAGGGCTACACAGAGAAACCCCATCTCAAAAGAAAAAGGGGGGAGGGGAGAAAGAAAAAAAAGAGGGTAGATGGTCTTCTTGAAGGTGATGCCCAAGGTTGTTCTCTGGCATCTACACATGCACAAAAAGGTGCCTCACACAAGCACCAGCACACCATACAGGTGTGTATGCACCCTAACAGCCTCATGCACCCCACACATATGCACATATGCATAAAATATGAGGTAACCTTAGCAGTACTATATTGCTTAGGTAAACCGATAGTAAACCACCTTCCAAAAGGAAATTGCAGGCCTAGATGGCTTCAGACTATCTAGACTCACAGGACATAGAAAAAGAGGGGACATTTCCCCCCCTTTTCTAAATGTATTTTTATTCTGATGCAAGAAACAGATACAGCAGGAAATAAAACAGCATGAATGTGGATGTAAAGTTCTTCAATATAATTTTAGTGATTGACTCTAGACATAAAAATCTTCAGTGCAATTTTAGCAAACCAAATCTATCAACACGCAAAAGAAGATGATGAATGATGCCATTGTCGAAGTTTATCCCAGTAGCGCAAGGCTGGTCTATGTTCTAAAGCTCAGTCAGTAGAACCTACTGTATCAAACAATAATAGAAACTATATGCTATCCTCACAGTCATGTAGGAAAAAGAACATCTGGCAAAACCCATTCATGCTAAGAACATTTCCATGTAGAGTTTGAATGAAATAAAATGTCCAATCAATGTATGATAAAGGACAGCTATGAAAAACTACAGCTGATATAATATTTAACATAGGAACTCTCTTGAAGTCAGGACTAACACGATGGGCTGCTGCCAGTACTCATTTCAAGAATGTACTTGATGCCCTAGCCATTCTAATAAGATAAGAGAAGGAAGCAAGAACAAGAAATGGTGGAGGAGAAGGAATATGATCAAAATAGATTTAAATTTAAAAATTGTTTTAAATAATAACAATATAATAAAAAGAGCAAGAAATGAGAGTACCTGTGTTTAGAGTTGATATCATTACCTGTGCAAAATTCCCAGTCTGCTTTTGAAGTTATTGAATCTGACAGGTACACAAGGCTAGTAATCAAAAGCATTTGTGTTTCTGTGTACCTGTAATTAACAATGGAGTTCCTTGAAAATGACACCGCAGCTGTGAATTGCTTCTGCATTGTGGAGAAGTCTAAACATCCCTCTGCATGCTTTATTCTGTGAGGTTCAAAACGTTCATGAGGAATCAAAGAAGACCTAAATAGCAGAGTAGTCTGTCATGTTCATGGTTTAGAATATGTTGTGGCTAAGATGTCTCAGCCTTCTCCTCATCCCAATCATCTGAATCATTGTCGTCCAGACAGATAGGTCAACTCTAAAATTAATGTAGAAATGCAGAACTTGAATGATAGCTTTGAAAAGAAGAGCAAGGCTAGGAAACACACCCTTCACAAATAGTTTTCCATGACGTTATGTTGGTCCAGGTGTGGCTGAGAAAAATCCATACACAATTGTGGTCAACTGATTTTCAGAAAGTCATAAAGACAATCGATATGGAAAAGACACCATCCCTAATAAAGTGTTTTTAAAATTGAGACAGCCATTTGCAGAAGGAAAGATTTTGATCCACAATCAGTTCAGAATGTGTATTAATTTTCTTCAAAAAGGAAGGGTTCATTTTAGCTACCCATTCTAGGGGATGTAGTCCATCATGGTGTAGAGGTATGGTGGGAGGAGCCAGAGGCAGCTGGTCAAATTATATCCCTAGTCTGGAAGCAGAGACTGCTGCTGTTCATCTCACTTGTCCTTTCTGTGCAGACCAAAGACTGGTGCTGCCTACATTAGAGCGCATCTTCCCTCCTAGTCAAACCTCTGACGACACCCTCACAAACATGCCCTGAGTTTGTCTACAGCATGATTCTAAATTCTGTCAAGATTAAACATCACAGAGTACTGGTGCCAAATACCACAGACTGGGTAGCTTGCCCAGGAAATACATTTCTCAGAGTTCTGGAAACTATGCAGGGTGGGTTTTATTCTGGTGTCTTTTTGCTGTGTTCTTTCAAGGCCTTTCTTTTGAGGACACAAGGTGAAAGGGTGGGCAAGATTTCTTCCATCTTCTCATAAGAGCATTTTTAACATTTAACTCATTTAATGATAACCATCTTTTAAGCTTCTCCACAATCACTGGTTCTTAAGACTTCTGTGTAGGAATAATGGTATGCCTTTCAATACATAGCACATATTTTGACCTCCTATAAAACTTAACTTGATATGGGTCAAAGATATAAATTTAAGATGATAAAAAACATCTAGAAGAAAAAGATACGTTGGCAACTGAGGTAAGTGGAGATTTCTAAAGAAGGATGCATGAGTCAGGGATACTTACATGTGCTTCCTCTTCTGTCAGAGCATCAGAGTTTGGATCACATCAGGATCAGCACCACATCAGGAGGCTCGAAAATAGGATCAGATGCCCCTTTCTGGCCTCCATGGGCCACTCCTACAATCACACACCCACATAACATACATACATACATACATACATACATACATACATAAAATAACTGCATGAACCATACCAAAAATTGATAAATTAAACTTCATAAACATTGAAGCTTTCACTCTTCAAAATGTATTGAAGGTGCTGGGGTTATAGCTCTATTATAGAGCATGTGCAAGACCCTAGATTCTAGCCTACACACACACACACACACACACACACACACACACACACACACACACACACGCACCATCTCCAGGACTCCAGAATCTATAACTAGTGTGCAAGTCAATGTGTCTTCATGTATCTTCCTTTTAGCACTGTCTCCACCCTATCATCCCTCTACCCATGCCTCCACACTGTTTCCAGCTCTGCCTGAATAGGGGGCCTGCAGGGCTGCTCCTGATGACTTCCATTTCCCCCTGTCCTATTCCAGCAGGGACAAAGCAGCACCAGTGTGATGCTGAGCTGAGAAAGGAGATATCATCTGTGTGGGCTAATCTGCCCCAGAAGACTCTGGACTTGCTCGTACCACCCCACAAACGTAAGTGGAGAGTGAAAGGGACCCCTGCCCCCACCTCCCCTGGTCCCTCACAGTATATGGGGTATAGACAGAGAGTATATTCCCTTGGAGAAGTGGGCTCCCCCTCATCCCTCTGTAGCCATGCTGGCTCGCACAGGAGCCTTGAGAGGCCATCCGGAGTCCTCTTACTTGGAGAATATATATCACAACACTTGAAAAATTGCACAAAGAAGAGGAGGTGCTCAATGTTGAGGGCCCCTTGCAGGGATGCACCACCACATAGGGACACAGGACTAGTTAGTGCTGCCCAGAGTGGGTGTGTTCTGTATCTAGAGGAGACATGGTACTCACTCCTATGGCTGAGCCCCCATCTGAGCCGCTCAGCCTAGTGCCTTTCCTGGAGTCCACATAGGGGAAGAGAGAAAGACGCTGCCTCCTTACCCAGCTACATTTTCTGTGGTTTCTTTGTGCTGTCTGTCCTCCAAACCTCTGCCTTTGGTTCTTCTCTGCCTGCTCTGTCCAGCTGATGAGATGACAGTGGGGAAAGTCTATGCAGCTCTGATGATATTTGACTTCTACAAACAGAACAAAACCACCCGAGATCAGATTCACCAAGCTCCTGGAGGCCTGTCCCAGGTACAGTTGTGGGAGACCTACAGCTGGACAAAGTTCAGTGGCAAGAGGAGGGAGCCTCTCTCAGGCCACCTGCTAGTGTTGTGGGGCTGCGGATTTGAGAGCTGGTTATCAACAGTGGGGACAGAAGCTCCCGGCAGTATCATTTTCTCTGTGGTAGACAGAGGAAGAGGTGATGTGTCAGAGGGAGACTTTTAGAGGATGGAAAGAGAAACTGTGTCAACACACAGGTACAGACCAAACAGATCCATGTCCATAGCCCAGGGTTGCTGTTGGCTTTGCTCATGGTTGTGTGGGAGGTCTAGGGTACACTTTCTTGATGCTGTTACAGCCATGTCCTCAGTGGCTGCCACATGGAGGTTCTGTTTGGAAAATCTTGTAGAGTGTCTAGTGATGTTTTCCTGACCCTGGGTAGGAAATGGCTGGTGTCATTCCTGTAGTCTCCTCAGCCTGGAATCCCAGGTGGCAGTTACTGTAAACAGAGGGTGAGATGAATGGTTCTGTAATATGACCAGCCCCCAGTTGTATAGGTAGAGAAACTGAGGCTCTGGGTTAAGTGACTGTTTTCCTGAAGTCACTTACGGGGAAACAGGCAGTACTAGAAGGGTCCTTTAGCCTGCCTTGTTCTGTTTGCATGTTCCTTTTGGGAAGCAAAAAAGTTTTATGTTGAAGAATAAGGAGCCCCATGCTGTCCTGAGCAGACTGGGCTCTGTTACATCCTGTTCCTGGCTGAGGCCCCCAGGCACAGGGCTCTCCTTTTCCCTGTTCTCCTTTGTAGATGGGTCCTGTGTCCCTGTTCCACCCTCTGAAGGCCACCCTGGAGCAGACCCAACCCGCTGTACTTCGAGGAGCTCGGGTTTTCCTTCGGCAGAAGAGTGCCACTTCCCTCAGCAATGGTGGTGCCATGTGAGTGCTGGTGAGGGTGGGTGTGGCGGAGGACTCACAGTTGGAATGGGTGCTGGGGAGAACTCACCACCAGCAGGTGTGTGTGTGTGGGACTCAGTAGGTGGGGAGAACTCATGGCCAGTGTTCGGAAAGATATCTGTGATCATGCCCTAGCTGGTTTTCAATGCCCTCTGGCCTCTAACTCACCTCCTGAAATACCTGAGGTGCTCATCCGCAACCTGAACAGTCCTCCGAGGATAGGAGGTCCCAGGACCCATCCCGCTGTCAGGGGCGAACCTCTGCCCATGGTAACACACAGACGTTTGGGAGCTGGTAAAAGATTGCAGCTGCTAGTGATTTTCTATCTGCCTGTTTCTGTGGTGGAGTTGGAGCTTAGCTGCATAGCATTAGGTAGACAGCATGGAACTTGGTAGATAGCTGTGCTACTCCTGAAGTGACAGCCACTACCTGTACCTGTCTCTTTTAGGTTCTGCTGTCACTGGCTTCTAATGCCTGTGGACTGTTAAGAAATTGTTTCTACCTTGAGTTCTCAAATACCTATTCATAGTCAAGTATAATTCTGATCTTCCTGGCTCCTCAGAGCCATTTTCCCAACTTGTCATTTGGGCTTTGATTTCTGAGGCTGTTGCATTTCATAGGCAAATTGGTCAGTCTTTTTGTTTCACTTTTCTCTTGGACAGTGTTTCTTGATATCAAATTCAGAGTTAGAAATCAAGAATCACCTTTTTCATATCAAAGGCTGTGGGCAGGGCTTGCTACACACTGAAAGCCATGCTCTTTCAGCTTCCTGGATACCGGGCTTCCAGGTATATTGATCTTTCCTTGTGTGTTGACTCTATGGGACTTGCCACCTCATGTTTGCCCCCAAAATGGCAAGAGACCAAGATGCAAGTCTTGTATGGACCTGTTTCTGTCTCACAGGCAATACCCCTATCAGCACAGCATAGTCAGGCTCGTGTTCATATTGTAGGAAGTAGACAATGTGGAGGGGACCCATGACTGCAAGTGCTGTTGGAATTGGCTCCAAGTTGAGGAAGTCAATCCTGGGACCTGCCACACAGAGCCCTGCAAACACTCTCACTCATGTGCTTTCCCTTGTACAAGTTGATTAGGATCCCTCTTCTGTATTTAAAATTAAACATACTCAGAGCATGTGTGTAAGAGTGTGTGAGGAGGAATGTGTGCTTGGGCATACAGGACTTACAGGTGTGTATGTGAGAGGGGTACATGTGACTGTATCCTATAAAGTGTGAGGTGTCTCTGATTTGATTTGATACAGGCTTCCAGAAGGAAAATAAGCTTCTGGTACTTTGATGATTATAATCTTTAAATACAGCAATTAGAACTTTCATTCAAGATGAGTATCTTAGTTAGGATTTCTATTGCTGTGAAGAGACACCATGACCACGGCTGGCTTCTTACAGTTTAGAGGTTTAGTCCATTATCGTCATGGTGGGAGCATGGCAGCGTGCAGGCAGACATGGTGCTGGAGAAGCTGAGAGTTCTACATCTGGATCAGCAGGCAACTGGAAGAGAGAGAGAGTGACACTAGGTCGGGCTTGGGTTTCTGAAACCTCAAATCCTAACCCCTGTGACACATTTCCTTCAGCAAGGCCACGTCTCCAATAATGCCACTCCCTTTGAATCTGTGGGGACCATTTTCATTCATACCACTGTAGTCAGATGTCCCAGCAGATGTCTGAGCTGTGCTGTAACCTCAGGGCTGGCAGTGCCCCAGGGTTTAGCTTGCCCCCCCTTTTTCTGGTTTTACTTCAAGAGTCATTGAGGTGAGATGGCCTGCAATATTTCCAGAGGACAATGGGTGATTCTTGTTTAAAAAAAAAATGCCCAACAAGGACAGATCTGGCTCTATGCTGAATGTGCTCCTGCAATATTTCCAGAGGACAATGGGTGATTCTTGTTTAAAAAAAAAAATGCCCAACAAGGACAGATCTGGCTCTATGCTGAATGTGCTAAACGGACTGTGCTCAAGTTTCACTCGACCCGTAGGATGTAAATGAGGTCATTTCAGAGGGGCTGCTGTGGAAGAATTGGTGCTGTGTGGGAGTCTGGCCCTGAATATGAACACCCCAGGTATACTGAGGAGCAGGCATGGTGAGGGACAGGTGCTGAGGGCACATATAATCTGGTGACCAAGAAGTTGATGGAACACTGAGTGGGTCTTTGTGGTGGAGAGGCAGGTGTAAGGAAGAGCCGCCAGCAAGGAACTTCTGAGGGAAGAAGCCCGGGAAAGATTGTGGAGTTCCTTTAGCTGCTGCCTGTATACCCAAGCTTTCCCACATAGTCATTGTGTGGCCTTGTCCCTTCCCACTGGGGTCTGTGGCAGATGCCTGATGCCCATATCACAGAAGAACCGATGCCAGGGTTGGAGAACATGCTGCTTTCCCCCAGACTGAGGAATGATGGACCTGACTTTCCTCAGAATGTCTTTCAAGTCCTCTACCCTCAGGAACTATTTAGAGCCCATGCTCTGTGATAGATCTCAGCTTAGGGGCTATGCTAGAGCTGGGATGCCAAGACTATGGCTGATGGAGATTCCCAGTAATAGCAGTGCTCCAACCCCTCAGAACATTTCTCTCTCCAGACAAACCCAGGAAAGCGGCATCAAGGAGTCACTGTCCTGGGGCACACAGAGGACCCAGGATGCACTTTATGAGGCCAGAGCACCCCTAGAACGTGGCCATTCTGCAGAGATCCCTGTGGGGCAGCCAGGAAAACTGGTGAGCCCTCCCTGGAGGGGTTTGTGAGATCGGGGCAGGCAGTGTAAGCCAGATGAGGAGCAAGTAAGATGGGGAGGTGTGAATGGGGATGAGGATTGTGAGGTGGGGCTGGGGATGAGTTGAGGATGGGGTCAAATGGTATGGGAGGTGGAAGACATGGTCAGATTGGAGCAGGTGAGATGGGCGTGAGTGGGGCTAGATGGCTCTGTGATGTGTAACTGAAGAGGCTGCCCTCCTCCAGGCTGTGGATGTTCAGATGCAGAACATGACGTTGAGAGGTCCTGATGGGGAGCCCCAGCCTGGTCTGGAGAGCCAAGGCCGAGCTGCCTCTATGCCACGCCTGGCGGCAGAAACACAGGTGTGTTGTCTTGGAAGGGTCTGGGCTGTGGGAGGGTGAGGTGTCGATGGAGGAGGGCTCTTGATGACGTACACCGTGAGAGGAGACTGCGGGTAGAGAGAAGCAGTCGGCAGCCCGAAGTCACCTACCTGTGCTACTTTGGACACATCTTTCTTTCATGGGATGTGGTGCCTGCTTCACCAGGACAGTTCTATGGTCACCGAAAGAGGCATTAATCTCTGAGTTCTGTGTCTCCAGCTTTGTTGTCTTCATCCCAGCTCTGGTCCTCCTAATTCTAATGTCTTCTAGCTCTTGTCCCCAAGACTCTACTATCCTAGGTGTTCTTCTGGCTCCCATACTCTCAGCTCCACTGTCTCCAGCTGTTGTCCATCTTCTCCTCCTCTGTGTCTACTCTAACAGATACTACAGAACAGGTAGTGATGGCTCGTGCCTCAGTCTGCCCTTCTGTTGTTTGAGGCTCTGGGTTGGTCCATCCTGCCCTATCCCTGAATCCCTATTCCTTCTCTGGACTCTTGTGAGGGTTTTCTCATTAGGCACATTGAACTAGAAGCCAGATGCCTGACCTCAGAATCGACAAGCTGCTTTCTCAAGGTCACAGAGAAGTGTCCATGGCATTCCCACTTTTGAAGCCAAGAAGGGGCTGTGGGTTGATCTGAGTCTTTAGAACCTGCCCTGACCTGTGTGGCTCTCCTCCTGGCTCTGTCCCTTCTTCTTTCTATGGTCACGGATATTTCATGTGTTCTCTATTTGCAACCTTGTCTCCTCCCCGCCTGCTGTGTTTTCACTTTACAGTGCTTCCTCAAAGGTGCTTCCTTCTGGCATTTAACATTCAGGTGGCTATGGCCAAGCCCCACAGCAGTTTATATGTCATGGTGTGGCGTGGGTGGGGGAGATATGAGTCAGTCCTCAAGATGGACCAGAAGAAATAATCCCCCTATAGCCAGACATGAATCACTCTGGGGTTCCTCAAACCAGCAACCCCTCTCCTTGGACACCTCCAGCGGGACCCACATGAAGCAGCCCTGCTTCCAGGCTGCCTGTCCGGAGTGATGCTCAGATGTGGCTCCTTCTGACCTGACTGGGTCTTGATCAGGTTCATTTCCTCTGCCAGTTAAAGAATTAAAAAGGAAGAAAAGATCGTGGGCACACCAGGTAGCAGTGGAGAAATCTCCAGCACCACAGACAACAGCAGGGTGAATCAGCAGTTGAAGAAAAGCATTTATGGGGTGGGGAGATGCCCGTGTGCAGCAGATGTACACGTGATATGCAGGGGGAAAGACCCTCAGCAAAGCAGAAGGGCAACTTGGGGAGACTGAAAGATCCACACTGCTTTTGACAGCTGAAGCTTCAGTCTCTGAAGAGTTTCCCTCTGACCTACAACTGTGTGTAACACATCTGATCTTTACTGTGCCGTCCATCAGCAAGACCTGCTGCTGGAGAGAAAAGGCTCACAGGGCTTTTGTTTTAGGAGCCCGAGGAAAAAGCTGGTCATTTTGGAGATTCACCATCTTTATTACTTATCTGTGGATCCTCTCCTTAGCCTGCCTACTAGGAACTCTGTCTCCTCCTGGTCTCTCATTGCCCCCTGCTGACGCAGGCTATGTCCCTCCTCATCCCTTGTCCTTTGTCTGCAGCCTGCCCCTGATGCCAGCCCCATGAAGCGCTCCATCTCCACCCTGGCTCCACGCCCTCACGGGACTCATCTTTGCAACACAGTCCTGGACCGGCCTCCCCCTAGCCAGACATCACATCACCACCATCACCGCTGCCACCGGCGCAGGGAAAAGAAGCAGAGGTCCCTGGAAAAGGGGCCCAGCCTGTCTGTTGACACAGAAGGTGGTGCGTGTACGGGGTCTGGGAAGCCTCCTAAGTGGCTATGGCCTGGTTTGGGATAGAGTCTAGCCGTCCACAGGACCATCTTCCTTGGTGTTCCATATGGTCCCAGAATTACCCATAGCAGAAAGGGGTATGAGTTCCAGTTCTGGGGACCAGGCAAGGACCAGGCACAGAGTCTGACACTTAGCTCCAGGAGACTATGTAGATCTAGAGCCAGAGGTCTCTACCATGCTCTGTCAGGACTCAGCTGAGCTAACCTCTCTTGTTCTTGGCCAGCACCAAGCAGTGCTACAGGGTCTGGCCTGCCCCAAGGAGAAGGATCCACAGGCTGCCGACGGGAGCGCAAGCAGGAGCGAGGAAGGTCCCAGGAGCGGAGGCAGCCTTCGTCCTCTTCTTCAGACAAGCAGCGCTTCTATTCCTGTGACCGCTTTGGGAGTCGGGAGCCCCCACAACTCAAGCCCTCCCTCAGTAGCCACCCCACATCTCCAACTGCGGCACTAGAGCCAGGACCGCACCCACAGGTAACCACGCAGGGCGGAATGGCTCACGTGTTCTGGCTTTGCTTTCCTCAGACCTTTGAGCACCCTCCGTGCCTTGCTCCCCAGCTCAAGCCTGCCTTTCCGGCCACCACCGCATCCCTGGGTCGGTTGCCCCAAATCCTCCTCAGCACTTAATTCTAACGGCTTGCTTTATTTTCCTGACTCTGGGGCTCTAGCACCTGATCAGTGTGTCTCTCCTTCCTGCTCCCCCTCTGTTAGCCTTGCGTCGGCCCTGCATCCCTTCATGATGATGCCTGTATTTTCTGTGTGCTGTGTTGTTTAATGTGGTTTTTATTTTTATTTGCTGTTACCTTTTTCATGTAGGGCAGTGGTTCTGTTAATGGGAGCCCTTTGATGTCAACATCTGGTGCTAGCACCCCGGGCCGAGGTGTCCACTTTGCTGGGGGTCAGAGTGGCCTCCCAGCATTCTCCCCTGGCCGTCTCAGCCGCGGCCTTTCTGAACACAATGCCCTGCTCCAGAAAGAGCCCCTGAGCCAACCTCTAGCGCCTGGCTCTCGCATTGGCTCTGACCCTTACCTAGGGCAGCGTCTGGACAGTGAGGCCTCTGCCCACACCCTGCCTGAGGATACACTCACCTTTGAAGAGGCAGTGGCTACCAACTCTGGCCGCTCCTCCAGGACTTCCTACGTGTCCTCCCTCACCTCCCAATCCCACCCTCTCCGGCGTGTGCCCAATGGCTACCACTGCACTTTGGGACTCAGCACCGGCGTCCGGGCGCGGCACAGCTACCACCACCCAGACCAGGACCACTGGTGCTAGCTGCACCATGACCACCCATGCACCAGCTCTGTGGGTGCGGGTTCCAGTTGATGAGTTTTATCATCCGCTCTGGGCTGTGGAGCCACAGCCCTGGGAGGAGGGTCCTCACATCGTGGCCTCTGTGGTGGAGGCTCCTGCTTCTCTCCCTCCCTCCCTTTTACACTGGATGGACTAATAAAGCCCTTCTTAGAGGGATATGGTTCTGTCTATCCTCCTGTGTACTGCCTTCCTGGGTTCCATGCCAGATGTTGGATCCTAAGCAGGAGGTAGCTGAGTTGAGATGGACCCAGCAAATCCAAATCCTATGTCATGGCCTCCAGCATTCAGGGTGGGTACTTGGGACTTTCTTAGGAGGTCTGAGTCTCATGAAGAGTATTGTTTGTCCGAATGTGTGTCATGGAGGATAGGGTGCACCTGAAAGCAAGGAAAGGAGTCCAACTGTGGCCTGGCAGCACCTGGCAGCATCAGTCATCTCATGTCTATTGTTGGTCTTAGAGTCAAACAGCACATGTATGTAGAGATGCACTCAAGGCCCCGCCTTTCACCTTACTGTCACCATAATAGGGACCAAATCTGGAGAATGTTTATGCTATTGACTCTGGTTTTCAGTTACAACACCTTTCACTGTTTGTCATTTCTATATAGTTGATCTAGAAAAGCAGAAAACAAAACAGGGAAGGAAATGTTCATGTAACTTAAAAAAAAATCAACATGTAGGAAGGTCTCTGTTTTGCACTGTTTCTGTGACTTGTGTGTGATGTTCCTGTATGGATTCTACCCTGCCCCGGAAGTCCCCAATGCCCCTGGCTCCTCTGCTCAACCAAGTGCCTGATCTCTGGCTCTGAGCTTCATGTATGAGGTGAACTATCAAGTGGATTGGGTGGGAACTGCTCAGAGCCACACTGGGGCTTGTGTCGTAGGGAACACTGACAATGTCCAGCAGCATGGCAGAGAAGCAGCCCTTGCGCCCATGCACCTCCCCTGAGTGATGGGTTCCGAAGAAGAAGCCACAGAGTAGCAGAGTGTGTGCTTGCATGAGGCATTTTCAATCTGTTTTTTTAATCTGATTCTCAGGGACGGGATGCCTGCCAAGTAGGGTATCATCTCTATTGTGTTAAACAAACAAACAAACAAACAAGCAAACTAGTTTTCCCTGAATGCTGAAGAGCGCTAAGCGCTAATGAAGAGGGGAATAGGGCAGGAGGGAGATACCCTCGCTGGCAGCATAACAAGAAACAGGCAGGAAGGAAACAGGTCCTGGAATGAGTCTGGGTGTCTAAAGCCTAGTAGGGTTCCTGACCCCAGATCCTGGGAGGCAGCAGTCATGGCTACTTTGCAAAGGGAAAACCCATACCCAGGAAGGTGTGTGGTGTGCACAGATGGCTAGGAGGCCACTAGAGGAAGGTTGCTCATAGGCAGGCAGGCACTCCTCGGGTGTGTTCTCTGTGTTTTGAAATTTCTGATGACTTTTTTGTGGGATTGTTGGCTTCTATCCCCATGTTTCTCACAGAAGCTGGGCGTGTGTGTGTGTGTGTGTGTGTGTGTGTGTGTGTGTGTGTGGGTGTGTTCAGTGAGTGGCTATTGTCAACCATAGGGCTATGCAACAAAAGACACATTACTAGAAACAAAACACAAGACCACCACTTGGTCTAGGGTTTCAGCATGATTGTGACCAAACCTTTTATAGAATTTCCTTATATGAAGGCACAATACCCTGAAACTTTAACGATAACAGAGTATTTTATTCCAGTAGGGTAAAATTAAACAGGAACCTTGGACTGTGCATGTGACTGCACCTATGTTGCAAAGTAGAAGGATGTGCATTTTGATACTGACGTTCTGTCTCTGTTCCAAGCCCAGCCCTTGTTCTCTTGAGTGTTGGGTGTATACACTTTGTGTGGAACCACAGCTGCTCCAGACAGTCTTAGGTTGGGAATCATCTTTACCCCACATTAGTGTAGCTGACTTTTCTTCCAGGCATTGGTATACATGAAAATCACAAGAATCAGGGAAAGGAGACATGGTGTCTTGTTTCCTGACTTTGGGTTTGTTTCTGTACTGTCTCTTCTCAAGCTGTTGTGTGTTCCCCCTGAAATTTCATAGTGAGTTGCCAAATTTGAAATGCAACAACCAGCTGTCTGCATCTGGAACCTGTCAAGCAGTGGCTGTAGTTTGAACAAGTTATGTGTGCATGTAAAATATATCCATATATACATTATACAAGTATGCGCATGAAATGTATATCTTCGTACTTTTGATACAATGTATTCATTTGTTAATTTTTAATTATATTTGATATAAATTGAAGGTTTGTTGCAAAACTTTATATTTAACAGTGTTGAGAGAGAGAGAGAGAGAGAGAGAGAGAGAGAGAGAGAGAGAGAGAGAGAGAGAGAGAGAGAGAGAGAGAGACAGAGAGAGAGTCACAGAGACAGAGAGAGACAATCAGAGAGAGAGATTCTGTCACAAAATAAGCTGGAGAGACTAGGAAGATACTCATTGATACTCACTATTGAACTCTAGCCTCCACATTCATGTATGCACACACACAGACACAGGCACACACACACACACACACACACACACACACACACACACACACACACACACAAAAAGGCAAGGA